CCCTCGCTTACAGGAGCGGTAATTAGCAGGACAAGGATCAGGCATGCCAGTGGGAGGGGTAGACGTGCTGGCACAGGGCCCAGCTGTGCCACCGCCCACACAGGATTCTGTGGGATTATTAGGGTGTGGGGTTTTCAGATTCAGATCATGACTAATCCCAGCCAAGCTGATGGGTGGGAATCTGCCTGAGCCCCGGAAATTCAATTTCTGGGGCAGGTTCCCATTGGGGGGGCAGTGTGAGGGGAGAGGGAATACTGGGTGGGGCGGTGTGAGGGGAGGGGGGTTCCAGGGCAGGGTCCCAGGGGTGGTGGTGTGAGGGGAGTGGGGTTCCCAGGGCAGGGTCCCAGGGTGTGCGGTGTGAGGAGGGGGTTCCCAGGACAGGGTCCCAGGGTGTGCGGTGTGAGGAGGGGGTTCCCAGGACAGGGTCCTGGGGGGGGCGGTGTGAGGGGAGGGGGGTCCCAGGGAGCACTGTTCCCCAGGCTCCTGCGTGGCTCTGGAAGTTCCAGTGAGGCTGCACCAGTGGTGTGGCTGTGCCCAGCTCTCTGGGGTGCTCACAGCGCCCCCTGGCAATCACCCCCATCTCCGAGGCGCTGCTCTGCTGTACATTTTTCACCCCGCTTTGTCTTTCCACAGAGGCAGGGAGCCATCCTGCCCTCCCTGATGTGCCCAATTGGCTCCACCCGCCCACGGGGATTGCCGGGGTGAAGCACTGAGCAAACAACACTGCCGAGAGGGCTGAGTCGGAGGAAATCCCTGAGAGAAGCCAGCGAGGTGCCGAGCTCCCACCTCAACAGCACCCAACTCCGGAGTGCATGGGCAGCACCTCAGGTACACGCCCCTTGCTGAGCCACTGCAATGGGGCATCCGGCCTGGAACAGGGCCTTTCCCCTCTAGGGATGCCTGTTCCGCTCCGGCCCCAGGGTGGGGCACTGGCTGGCTGGGGGTCGGGGGGAAGGAACATAGGCCCTTTCCCCTCTATGGGGTGCTGGCTCTGATCCAGGCCCAGAGCATGCAGCTGGCTCAGGGGGGCAGGGAATGGGATATGGGCCTACTCCAATCCAGCCCTGGGGAGTGGGGAGGGCAGGCTTGCTCGTGTGTGTGTGGGGGGGGAGAATGGGAAATGGGCCTTTCCCCTCTAGGAGGCGCCAGTTCCTATCTGCTCCCGGGGTGCAGGGCTGCCTGGCTCAGAGGGTCAGGGAATGGGCAGGGGGCCTTTCCCCTCTAGGGTGTGCTGGCTCTGATCCAGGCCCAGGCCAGGAACGAGTTGGAGTTGGTGCTGTCTGATATCTCCTGGTGGCCCCGTGTGGACAGCGTCGGGGTCTGTAGACTGGGTCCAGCTCACCAGGCGGCTAATGCAATAAGTGCAAATAGCACCTTGTGGGGAAGTGTCAGCGTGGCTGGGCTCTGGGGCAGCTTCCTCCCCCTTGCCAGAGGAGGTCCCAGCCCTTCTGCTGTCTGGTGAGTGAGCAGAGCCAGGAGAGGCTTGTGGTAAGGCCCTGGGTGCTGTGACCAGCCCTGGGCTGGCGGCTTGAGGACCACCCGGGATGCAAGGGCCAGAGACCCATGCAGGGATACCCAAGGCACGGGGGGCAAAAATGGGCTCTGAGGGGACCCTGTACAGACCCCAAGGGACACCACTATTTACCTCTCTCCATTCTGAAAACTGACCATTTATTCCTACCCTTTGTTTCCTATCTTCTAACCAGTTACCAATCCATAAGAGGACTTTGCTTAATAGGGATCGTGTCAAAGGCTTTCTGAAAGTCCAAGTA